CAAATTAATTATCATTGATTTTGTTTTATTTTGCCCTAAGCTCATTAATAGAGACAATATAATTCATTCGATACATTAATTTAATTTTTAATTGAACTCAGTCAATTTTGTATATCTAGATTTAGCCTAATACCGATTTACCAGGTGATTTTTATATTTTATGTTTTGCTCTGTAGATTCTGCTGAGGCTCGTTTAGCACGACGTCGTGCTCGCTTGGAGGCTAATGACTACTATTCATCTGATGAAGATACTTTCCTCGATAGAACTGGAGCTGTAGAACAACGACGTAGTAAAAGAATGCGTCACCTGGGCGTGCCTACGGATGAACAGCTAGATGGTGAAGTGTTACTGTCCCGGTTGGGCACAGACTATCATTCTTCAGAAACAAGCAGACGAAAATATACTCATGGGAAAAGCCTTAATAGGCTTAAGCTGGTAGTTTTTTAAGTCCACTTTATTAAATGATTTGGGTCTATTTATTAGTGTTGTGATAATTTAGATATCTAGTCTTGCACGCCATTAGCTTGCGTTCACCTATCATCACACAAATATTTTAGGCCTCAACTAGATTTTTCGGTTTGTTCTCTACCTGCATTTTTATTCTGTCCTTGCTGTCATATTAATAGGTTTGGTAAAATAGTCTGTAAACCACTGACATTTAGTCAATCCACGCTAAATTTTAAGGAGGCCCTTACCCCTCTTCATTTGTTCCATTTTCAGTGTGCTTATCTCCACTTAACTCATGATGAGGCTCTATTCATAGATTGGCGGATGATTTTGGCCTAAATGACATTATATTTTAGAGTGGACTGCTGCTTTGGCCCTTTTTAGACCATATACTCACTCACAACTAAAAAAAAACTTAAGGCTTGTTGACCCAAGAGACATGCACTGCGTTACTAGATTGGGGAAAGGATTGGTAGAATTGATCTTACCTCGTTTTCCCAACTTGGTTGTGTGGAAATGATCTTGTCAGAAGTCCCCTGTTATAACGGTCATCATAATTCCCAGTGTCGGACCGTCGATTTGTTACATTCTCAGACGCTTCGGCGACGCCCTAGTCAGCATTGTTAGTGAGTCTTGCCATTCTAGGCACCAAGCAAAAACTCGTCAAAGAGACAAGTTGTAGCTTGGTGCTTAAAATGACAAGGTCCACTGACTAAGCCTACGAAACGTCTAGGGACGTACCAAGTACTCGGTCCGACGCTGGAAATAATGATAACTATTATGACAAATGACTTCGGACAAGATACGTGTTTCGAAGTCTCCTTGATAACGCTTCCAAATTGCGAAAACGAGGTCAGACCACTTCTATACATCGAGAGAAGACTGCGACCAAAATATAAACCACGACATCTTGATCTTCATTTCTA